GGAGGAGGGAGGAGAGGAGGGAGGAGAGGGGCGGGAGGAGGGGAGGAGAGATGCGGGAGGGAGGGGGAGGGAGGAGGGAGAGGCAGGGAGGGGGGAGGGGGGAGGGGGGAGGGGGAGGGAGGGGGGAGGGGAGGAGGAGGAGGAGGAGGAGGGAGGATGGAGGAGGGAGGAGGAGGATGAGGCGGGAGCAGGGGAAGGGAGAGGGAGGGAGGAGGGGAGGGAGGGAGGCGGGAGGAGGGAGGAGGGAGGAGGGAGGGGGAGGAGTGGAGGAGTGAGGAGTGAGAGGGAGGGAGGGGGAGGGAGGGAGGGAGGGGAAGGGAGGGAGGGAGGAGGGAGGAGGAGGAGGGGAGGAGGACGGAAGAGGAGAGGGAGGAGGAGGAGGAGGAGAAGCAGGAGGAGGAAGAGGAGGATTAGGAGAGGAGGAGGAGGAGGGAGGAGGAGGGAGGAGAGGGAGGAGAAGGGAGGGGAGGGAGGAGGATGGAGGGGGAGGGAGAGGGAGAGGATGGAGGGGGAGGGAGAGGGAGAGGAGAAGGGAGGGGGAGCGAGAAGGGATGGGGGGCGCGGATGGGGGAGCCCTCCCTCAGCCAGCCCCCCCCCCATCCTGCTCGCCTGGGCCATCCTTGGCGGCGAGCGAGGGGGGGAAGTTAGAAGGAGATGGCCTTTTCAGATGGCGGCGGGGCTTCTCAAATACCCTCGCGCCTCCGGAGAAATTTTCAGTGTCTCCTGGGAAGGCTTACATAGAACACTCCTCAGAAGGCTGGGGGACCTCCGAAGGCTCGCCGCCGACATCCCTCCTCACCCTGCTGCCCCTGGCTGCTTCCTGTTGCCCCCCTGGGGGTCCTGCGGAGGTCCCCGGAGGCCTGCAGGGGCCCCGGGAGCCTCACAAAGGGCCACAAACGCCACCAAGAGCTGGATCCTCGGTCCTCCTCCTCCTCCTCCTCCTCATCCTGCTGCTGCTGCTCGTCGTAGGGTCCTGCTCTGTGGTCGCCCTGGTGGCCACGCGGGCACCCGCTGAACATGCGGATCGGCCGCCGAGTTGGCACGTCTTGGCCACAGCCTCTTGGTGAACGGGGGTGTCGCGATCTGACGGAGAGACTGCTGGGGGGTCGAGGAGAGGGGAGAGGAAGAGGGAGGAGGAGGAAGAGGGAGGAGGAGGATGAGCAGGAGGAAGACGAGGAGGATGAGGAGGAAGGCCTTCCTCATCCCTCCCCCCTTACTTTCTTGATGAGGCGGCGAGGGGGGTCCCAGGAGGTGGAGGCGAAGGAAGAAGGGAAATATGAGGGGGAGGGGAAGGGTGGAGGTGGGGGGGGAGAGAAGTGGGAGGGGGATGCGGAGAAGGAGCTTGAAGAGAAGGAAGAGGACGAGATTGGGGGACCAAAATGTTGAAATTTGCCCTGAGCTGTCCTCATTAAACATATGCTACCGGGGACTGCCGCAAACACGCGACTGCTACTGTGCGTGTCCAAAACGGGGTTTTCTGTGACCCGTTGGTGCTTTCTGTCCCCAGCCGCTGTGGTGGTGGCCTTTCTGTGTCCCAGTGGGGATTCCTGTGCCCCTCTTAATATGTGGCCTATCACAAGAGGAGCGATATCATATTGTGGATGTATACTTAACCCATTAGTGTTGAACATTCATTCTGGTTGATTTGTAAGCGACATTCATGTTGGCCTCTCTGTGTCTGCCACCATATGTACATGCTTCATCAGGTGCGCATGTGCGCATGTCATTACGTGCGCATGTGCGCATTTCATCACGTGCTCATGTGCACATTCAAAGCCACATCCTCAATAATATCCTAGACAATTTCCTTAGGAATATCCAGACCAACATCTAAGCACATACCATGAACCACACATCATAGAAATCTAACAAGCAGTAGCCTAAACCGTACCATACATACCCTCCAACCAGAAAGTAATACAAACTATGCGTAATGCCATAGCCAATGTCCGACGCAATGCCGACATGCTTGTTTGTTACGTCGCCATTGTACCATGTGAGCGTCTTTTTATTCGGCGTTTCGACATTGGGCGGAAAGGGGGGGCGGGGGGGGGCGTCTGGCTCAAGACCTCTGCTTGGTGCGACTGTTTGCGACAGTGCGTCCTACGGGGGAGGGACTCCACCTGCTCGGAACAGGCGCGCGCGCCAAAAACAGCCGAGATCCACTCCAGGGAGGGGGGGGGGACGGGGAGGGGCGGTCCGAGGGCCCGCGCCGATCGGCAAAACAATGAACAAAAAAACGATCACCATCTGGGCAATCTGGCAATCTCTTGGGCATTAAAGGCGCAGTATTGGGCATTGACATCCGGAATGAACAAACAATGGACCTCTTGGGCAATAAGTCTCTTGGGCGATCTGAACAAAACATTGACCTCTTGGGCATTAAAGCCACAGCATGCAGGGCGGGAGACGCGAGGCACCTAAGGATCACTTGCACTATTGGGGCCTGGCGGCCGCGGCACGAAATCACACACACACACACACCAAAGACCTGCAACAAGACTGTACATCAAGGGCGAAGCGAGGCGTCGCGTCCTCCTCGTCGTCCTCCTCGTCCTCGTTCTCCCCCCTCCATCCTTATCTTCTATCTTCTCCTCCATCCTACTCCCCCTTCTCTTCCGCGTCACCATACCCTTCATCCTCCTCCTTCGAAGCGAACCGTCACGGACACCACCCTGCCCAGCTTGCCATCGCTCGGGCGTCGATTCCCCGTGCATTCTTTAGTTTCGTGAACTTACTTGGGCTTGTTTGCTTTTACCTTCGCAAGCTGATCCAGAATGCTCTGGGTCGGCCACGCTCATTTGGCGCTGGTCCCGCCGAGAAGCATGGACACGTCCGAGCGATGCTCGGCGAACGATCGAGCCATCCCCGCATCACTCTGGCCCAGGCTGCCCGCATAACCGTATCTTCCCGATGCTGTACTTGCCTGGTGTGTGCATGTCTGTGTGCATGTCTGCATTTGCGTATGCATGCATGTGTGTGTATACGCATAGATGCATATACATACATTTACACACATGCATGCCTGCATGCCTGCATGTATGTACATACGTACGTCTATCTGTATGTGTGGGTGTATGTATGCATGCGTGCATGTATGTGTGTATGTATGTGTGCATACATACATGCATGCATGTAGGTAGGTATGTCGGTAGGTAGGTAGGTCGGCAGGTAGGTATGTAAGTATGCAGGCATGTATGTATGCATGCATATATGTAGGTAGGTCGGCATGTATGTATGCATGTGTGCCTTTTTGGGCCTCTTCACGCCCTCTCGGGCCGTCCTGGGACCCACTTGGGGCTCTTGGAGGGTTTTGGCCTTGCCGTGGCCCTCTTGCAGGGCTCTTGGGGCCCTCTTGGAACTCTCTTGAAGCCATTTGGGGCCTTCTGGGACTTGTTGGGCTGTCTTGGAACACACTTGGGCCGTCTTGGGATTCTCTTGGGCCGTCCTGGGGCCCCCTTTGGGAGCCGCTTGGGCCGTCTTTGGCCGATGTCTGGTGCCTCGAGGGCTGTCTTGGTCCGTCGGACGCATGAAACAGAACATGGAAAACCTTACATTCGAGACATTTGATTGTTTCGCCTCTCGAGGGCCGCGCTGGGCTCCTTTCGAGGGCCTCTTGGCCGTCTTCAGGCCCTCTTTGGGCTGTCTTGAAGCCGTGCTGGGGCTCTCTCGGAACCCTCTTGGGCGGGCGTGGGCTCCCTTGGAACGCTTTTTTGGGCCGTTTTGGGAGCCCTCTCGGACGTCTCCGGGGCCCTCTCGTCGCCTCTCGTCCCTTCCTCTGACGCGTGTTGGCGCTCCCCGGCGGGTCCAACACGGCCGTGTACAAAATCAGTGCTCCCCTGCCCCCCCCCCAAACCAACTACCCATCGTATAGGTGTGTATCTATATACATGTATATGCATGTATGTATGGATGTAGAGAGAGAGAGAGAGAGAGAGAGAAAAACCAAACAAAGAGATATGGCTGTGGTGAGGCAGGGTGACACGCGTTAGTGATGCTGACCATCGGTGCTGGCGACGGGGGGGTTTCTAAAGAATTTCCCTCGGGTTTCCATCGTAGCCCGATGGGCTTGCCGTAGGATTCTCATGCGAGCCCTATTGATTCTCCATCGGATTCTATAGGATTCCTGTGGGTTGTCCGTCGGATTCAATCGGATCCCTATCGCTTTTCCATCGGATTCCATGGGATTTCTGTAGACTTCACATAGGATTCCATAGGTTCCCAGTGGAATCCTCAGGCCTCCCCATACGTTTACCAAATATTCCAAAGGGCTTCCCATCGGTCCCCAAGGATTCGTAAGGGCTTCCCATCAGTTCCCTAAGGATTCCGACGGGGTCTTTCTAGGTTTACATGGGCTCCCTAAGAATTCCTTAGGGCTTCCCATCGGTTTCAATCCTAAGGGTTACCCATCGGGCTCCTAGGGACCCCGAAAGGTTTCCAAACAATCTCCTTGGGATCCCTGAGGGTTCCCCATCGGTTTCCTACGGGTTCCTCATTATCCCCCATGGGTTTACTATGTATTCCCAAGGGTTTCCCATAGGTTTCAGATGGACCCCTAAGGATTTCCCATCATTTTCCGATGGATTCCTAAGGGCTTCTCATCGTCCCCCAAGGTTTCGAAGAATTTCCAAAAGGTTTCCTTGGGATTCCGACGGACTCCCCCATATGTTTGGTAAGGTCTCCTGTGAATGTCCCATCGGCTCACTCAGAATTCCTGTGTTTCCCATAAATTTCCTAAGGGCTCCTGAGGGTTCCCCATAGGTTCCCCTAAAATCTCCATCGATTTCCTGCATATTCGCCAAGGTTTGGGTTTCCCGGCGGATTCCAAAAGGCTTCATATAAGTCTCTGAAAGGGTTCCGTAAGGCTCCCCGAGGACTTCCTAAAGATTATTTGGGGTTCCCCATTCGTTTCCCGTCGGTTTCCAGCGGGTTCTTAAGGTGCTCCTGTAGATTTACTAAGGATGTCTAACGCTTCCTGTAAGGACCCCCTTTCAGAAACC